CCCCAAAACCCCAAAACCCCAAAACCCCAAAACCCCAAAACCCCTTTGTAGGAATTTAATGAGTCGCAGGTTTTAAATATTTATAATAATAAAAAAGATGAACAAGTTTGCAATCTTGTCTGTTGTCACTGTTTTGGCAGCCACCTACTTCATGGTATCTTCTCCATCTGTTGATGCTACCCTCGAATCCCAATTCAACACTTTCATCGGAATGTATGGAAGGAACTATGCTAGTGAGGATGAGCGCGCCTTCAGATTGTCTATCTTCCAGGAGAATATGAAGGAAGCTGAGAAGCTTAACAAGCAAAGTAAGACCGCTACTTTCGGAATTACTAAATTCTCTGACTGGACTGACGAAGAATTCCAAGTACTCTTGGGAGATAGAGTCACCTATCCAAGCGACTACGTTGAGAAATACACTGATGTAGTTGAGAGCGAAGTAGGATTCAGCGCAGATCACAGACAACACTTCAAGCCAATCCAGAACCAAGGATCTTGAGGATCTTGCTGGACTTTTGCAGCTACTGCTACTTTCGAAGCTTATAGTTCAATCAATAACAACGGAGTCCCAAAGCTTTCCGAACAAGAACTTGTTGACTGTGTTACTAAGTGCAGTGGATGCGGCGGAGGTCTTGCTAATCTCGCCTATGACTGGCTTGTAGATACTAAATTCATTCCTTTGGACAAGTACCCATACCACGCTGCTAACGAAGTCTGTAAAGCTCAACAACTGGAAGAGGAGGGTGTCGCCAACGATAGCGGAAGTGGTCTCATTGTTAGTGGAGAAGATGGAATCTTGCACAGACTTGGACATGAAGGACCTGTATCCATCTCTATTGATGCTTCCGTCTGGAAGACCTACACTGGAGGAGTCCTCGACTCTGGGTGTGGAATGTCTACCAACCATGCTGTCGTAGTTGCTGCTTTCGAAGATGACGCCTACATTATCAGAAACTCCTGGGGAGAAAACTGGGGAGAGAATGGATTCATTAGATTGGCTTATGGAAAGAACATGTGTAACATTGAAAAGAGACCATCCTACCCTGTCTTCTAATTCTTTTCTAAAAGCTTCAACTATATCCGAACTGTAAGGGGTTTTGGGGTTTTGGGGTTTTGGGGTTTTGGGGTTTTGGGGTTTTGGGG